CAGTTCCTTCTAAAGTGACATCCTTCTAAAGTGACCTTCCTTGTGGCAGTGGTAACACTTGTTAGATCTCTTAGAAGGACTGACTTCTGCCCTCCTTCTGGACTTTGATCTACTCTGATCACTTTTGAAGCCTTTTTTGCTCGATCTTCCTCTAACTGTCAGACTATCTCCACTGGTTTCCTCTTTCATGTCGTGCTCCTTCTGAAGTTCTTTAGCTCTAATAAGAGATTGAACCTCCTCTAGAGTAACAGTCTGCGCCCTTCCATAGAGCATCGTATCCTTGAAATGCTCGTAGCTCTTGGGAATAGAGTTTAGCAACAGTAGTGTCTTGTCCTCATCGTCCATTTTACATTGATGTTCTCGAGGTCATCGATGAACTTGTTGAACTCGTCAATCTGCTCTGAGACGGATTTGTCTTCATGCATTTTGAAAGAGTATAGACGCTGCTTCAGAAAGAGTCTATTAGCCAGAGACTTTGTCAGGTAGAGTACCTCGATTCCCGTTGAATTTCTCGATGTAGAATTTGGCGGAACTCATTATTGTGGCTTGATCCCCACTAACGTCTGAAATTCGTTCCGCTGGGCACCTATTGAATTCCGAGAGTTGTCGCGGCGTGTTCTAGCTGACGCGAAAATCCTCCTCCTTCGCGAGATCTGCCCCTTGGCAGACCGAACGACCCGCCTTCCTCTACTCCTTCACGGGCAGTCCTCCTCCGTCTTGCCGAACCGCACAACCTATGGTGCTAATCCAGGAAACCCTCCTCCTCCGCGAGATCTGCCCCTTCGCGGACCGAACGACCCGCCTTCCTCTGCTCCTTCACGGGCAGTTCCTCCTCCGTCTCGCCGAATCACACAACATGTGGTGCTAATCCAGTCGATCAAAGCTTTCACTGCTCACCGAATTTGTCGCGATTCGGCTGTCTGCGACATGATCCGTTTGCTCCTCTGTTCGTAAATGTCGAAGTCCTCTTCTTCGTCACTGGCCGCGAACACCTTTACGCGGACACTTCTAGCCAAGAAGTATGAATCTTCCCACAAACGGCGTCAATTGTTGTGAGATATGTACTTCCTGACATAAAAAATGAAACGCAAAGAACACAAGTAAACACAAATCGTTTACGTGGTTCGATCCAACTGGATCTACGTCCACGGGAGAGAATCAATCAAATAGTTCATTAAGGCAAAAGAAATGGAGAATACATAGCTTATACATAAAGATGAGCCCTCATCTTCCTTCTACGGTCCTCCATCTCAAGCGACACCTTGATACAAGGCCTCAAGATGCTCTCCTCCTCTCTAGCTCTCTAGCTCTCTAGTTATTCTCTCCTCTTTTGTGGTGGCTTAAGATCTCTTCCCTTGCTCTCCTAGGCCTCACACCCTCTCTATTTATAGAAGCAAAAGAGTGGTAGGTGGGAGATAGGTGAGCAGTAGGTGGGAGGTAGGTGGGCGGTAGGTGGGATATGGTAGGTGAGCGGTACCACATTATAAAAGTGCACTTTTACCTTAATTCAATAATTGGGGGTCAAAATAACAACAATACTAGAGCTTTTCCCTAAAAACATATACCGCCACCATGAGCTTCTCTTCCTCAATTAACCCATTGACCGCAAAGTATCGCTCCACATTATACACACCCATGTGCATATTCTCCTTTGAAAATCGACATCTTCAGTTTTCTGACCCTTGCATCTCTACCCCAACTTCCTCTTCCTCTGGTGTTTCCCCCCATGTGTCTAAGATGAAACTCCGTTCTTCAGTCATAACCATACACCATTCTCGATTCCCTTTTTCTCCTTCGTGCTCTTCCATGCCACTTACACCAACCCTCCAATTTTTTGAGCCTAGCCCCCTCCATCGGACATCTCTAATCCCCCCTCCTCTCGGAGTCCCTGGGGGAGGGGGGGCTCTTGGTGGTAGATGATATCCTCCTCGTTGTCGTTCGATCCCCTTCCCTCTTGATCTGGCCAAGGATTCCCTGATCAATACTTGGCTAGGGTTTGCAACTTGAGTGGTCGGCAGGGACTTGGATTGCATATCCATGAGCCTCTTCATCATTTCTATCATTTCCCCTATGCTTTCAAATTTATCCTCCAATTGGCTCTCTATGGAAGAAAACCTGTTATCAATGGTGGCGAACATTTTCCATTCCCGATCTGATTTGCCCGATTTCTCCTTCCAACACATCCACTTTATTTGTTGTCATCCCTCCAAGATCTTACTCCAATACCAATTTGATAGGATTCAGAACCAAAAACAATGAACAAATAGCGACTAAATTGTAATAGATAGGTAGAAAAAACTCAAATGAGGAATGTTCTTACGAAACTTAAAGAAAACAAGCAGAATACAACAATGATCTAGTGTTCGAGAGGTAGATCGTCTCTCCACAAACCCTACACGTCGTTAGGAATATCACAATACAAAAAAGAAAATTGCAGCCAAAACAAAACATAAAATAAAGCCTAGGTTCTTAGTCCTAATATAGCTCTCCTAAACCCATTCAAACTTTCCCCACAAAACTCCTTGAATTTCTCCTCTTTGCAGACGCGGCTACAAGCTTCATGGGCCTTCCTGTTCGTTGGATCCTTTTGTCGCCGCTCCCCGCTGTGTCGCCCCTACCTGCAAAGCCGTTCGGCTCTTAAATCGTTGGGGCGAGCCAGTCGGCTGAATTTCGACCGGTCCCGCCTGGGTCGTTTTAATACTTGTATAATAGTCGTTGATTATTTAGATGGGTCATTTTAGTTCCATAATTTATAACAATGCCAAATTAGTCCCTAGATTATGTTAATGAGGTGCTAAAATAGCCTTCACTGGTAGAGCTGTAATTGAGTTGAGTCGAGTCGAATATACCTTGGCTTAGACTTGGCTTAATTGAATTATGAGTTGTTAATGTTCGGTTTGTTAGCTCCTATGACAGACAAAATTAGAAAAAGTTGTCTTAGATGGTTTGGTTTGGTCACAACATATTAAACGTCGACCATTAGATGATCCGATTAGGAGAGTAGATGTTTTAGATTTGACTTGTGTTAAGAAAGGCAGAGGTAGACCTAGGAAGACTTGGGCTTATTGTATTAAAAATGATCTTAATTTACTAGAACTAAATGAAAATATGACACTAAATAGGACGCAATGGAGAAAAAGGATTCATGTGGCCGACCCCACGTAGTGGGATTAAGGCTTTGTTGTTGTTGTTGTTGTAATGTTCGGTTTGAGATCTCTATGCAAGCAAATTGGGCTTTGGAAAATTAGTTAATGTGGAGATCAAATTAAGATGGTGATTAACCAAATTGTTTGTGATTACAATTGGGCTTATACTGTGAAGAGATCAAATCTATCATGATAATTAAATTTTAATCATCCAATCTCTTGATGTAAATTATTAACGGTGGTGATTCTTAAATCACACCAATGATATTTCGTCAGTAATATAACTGAAATTCTAGACCGTTGAATGTTAATAGATAGCAGAGGATATACAGAGTGGATGAATATTGGGTTTATTGTGAATAGTATTTTGAATAAATTTGGATTACATTATTTAATGAAGTTTGGAAGGATAAAATTCCTCTTAAATTGTGGAATTGCTTAGCAGGATAAAATTTTTCTTCAACCATATGGAGTTACTATGGTAAATGAAAACGATGACTTCAATTAACTTTCCACTGTAACCATTTATTTATTGAACCTGAAGCTAGAATACAAACACTTCTACTGTTCAAAATGAAAATATAGCAAGCAAATTGCATCCAAAAAAGAAAAGCAATCCAGGTGGTTGTTTTAATCAATCTAAAGAAAGAAAACAGCAAATTACTTGTTGTCAATTGGATGAAGGCTCAAAAATTTATAACGGGGCAGTTACATAAATACCACTCAATTTTTATGTATTTTCATGTCTAACACCAAGATTTTGCATTTTTTTACAATTATATCACTCCAATTTTTTGTATTTGTACTTCAAAAATACAACCATTTTAACTTTTAAAAAGTAAAATACACATTTTCATGCAAAAGGCGGTATCTATATCAAAATTAAATTTCAGATGTTGCATATGTAAATATATGACAATTGAATGGTATGTATGTAAATTTCAGATGTTGCGTAAGGTTCTTGAAAGTTTTTGGGCAGAAGTTAAATAGCAATGGATACTTGAGACTAAAACTTACCTGAACTCCCCAATGCAAAAAATATCCCAAAAAGAACCCCAATGGAAGGCCAAAAATATAATAACATCCCAAATTAATGTAAGCCACTAGTCCTTGCCATCCACTTCCGACTGCCACTCCTGCCTCAGCCAAAACAAATAGAGAGGGGGGAGAGAGAGAGAAAGAGAGAGAGAGAGAGAGAGAGAGACATTATTAATGATTTAGAAATTACAAAATTGACCTTATGTAATAATACTCACCTGAAATCACTGGCTGGATGCTATTGAGCACCATGGTAATCCCAAGAAGATAAGCAATTCTCGTAACAGCCTTCTGCATCTCTTTATCACTTGTAAATAATACCGGAAAATAATCTCTTGCAGCAAGAATGACACACATGAAAAAGAGCCCAATCACTAGAGAAGTGACCACCACAACCACAACAGTGTACTTGGTTGCCCTCGGCCGGCCCGATCCAAGTTCATTCGAGACCCGAACACTATGGAAATTAAGCACATCCAAAAAACATATCATTAACATTTGCAAAAACAATATAGAGCCTTTCTATATCATAGACATTTTAATTGGAAATATGAGATGATTAATTTTGTCCGTAGATTAATAAATGTAGTTAATTATGTTATGGTATGGCTCATATACTATATAGGGACAGATGCTGGAACGAAGCGGAGCAGAGCGGAGCGAAGCGGAAGAATCTGTCCAAATCGGGAAGTTACGTTATGTGGGTTGGGGGCGTTGGGTCAACGCCCCGCTATACGGTACAGGGGTAATTTGGTAATTACATATTGTACTGTAGGGTTTACTCTAGGATTATAAATAGACATGTTTGTAATTCTAGGTCTTTGAGAGAGTTGGATCTTCTATTCTGTAACCTCTTTTCTGAATATTGAAAAGGAATACGCCGCTCTGCTCCCGAGGATGTAGGCATCTTTGCCGAACCTCGTTAAATCTCTGTGTTCTTCTGGATTTGTGTCGATTCTTGTTTTTCTTCGCCCTAATTTTTTCAACAAGTGGTATCAGAGACAAGTTCGAGGAACGGGGGCGGCGCAGGAAGAAGGAAGAGGATCTCGATCGGAGGGTCCGCAAGTGCAGTTTGCGAGGCAGCAAAGTGTTCAGCAGTGCGCAGAGAATTCTGATTAGCCACCCTCGGACGAGTTCGGGACGGACGAACGAGGCGGAGCGGATGTACAAACAGGGATCGGGAGTTCGCGGAAGAGAGGGATCGCGACGGAGGAAAGAGACGGGATTCGCGGCAGTGTGCGAGCTTTGCGACAGAGCTTGTGCGGAAGGGAGGAAAAATAGGAAGGCAAGTTGCGATCCAGAAAATCCGAAACAGAGTCGCTAGCGGTAGGCAGGAGTGGATTAGAGTGGATCGCGGCTCCCCGCGGTAAATTCCGAAAATTTTGCCGGAGGCGGAACAGGCGGGATCCAGAAAAGGGAAGGAGCGGAGCCACTGTGCAGTGTTTCCTTCTAGAGAGAAAAAAAAACGGAACCTTTCCATTGCTGGCTGGCTTGCGGAGGGAGAAGGAAGAATACTCCATTGCTGGGTGGCTGCTTAATGGAAGAATATTCCTTGTTGGAGAAAAAGGAAAGCTGCCATTATTATTACTTTTTTGTCTTTTCCCTTGGCCCGCGGAAGGAAGAAAAATTAAAGGAAAGTTTTCAAATTAAGCAAATTTAATTAAGGATTTCTTTTGTTGGATGATAAAGAGAAATAAAGGAAATATTTATTTCTTTTCTTGGAGGCGGAGAGGAAATTTTTTTTTTCTTTTGCTTGAATATTTTAATTTTTATTTTTTCCTTTTTTTCAAAAAAAAAAAGAGGTCTAAACAAGGATTTTTGCAGAGGAATTTTTTGCAGAAAAGTTTTGTTGCAGGATCAAAATTGTTCGCAAGGCGGAAGGGCTCGCGGGAACGAACAGGTGCGAAGCAGTTCGGATAAAGGGCTACGACAGTTCGGCGAGTTATGCTTCGGGGAGTTCGCGGTAGAGGCGG